AATATGGACCTCTATTATACCTTCTTTGGAGGGGGACAAAAAATAAGAAAACTACGACGCAGGTACAACTCCGGGGCGAATGTTTAAATAAACATGACCCAAATAATGTCACCAGGTACACTTCAACGGTGCACACCATGTGGGTAGGCAAATAAAAGTTGCAATAGGCCATAAAAAATATACTCATTAAAAATTGGATGTGTGTGTGCGTGTGTTTTTTTATTACAACTAACTAAATGTATAAGTACCTATGTTAACACACGTGTCAGGTTATAGCAGTATATTGGTAAAAGTATACCTGAGACGTTTTTTTTTGGGTTCTGACGCAAAAGCGTTTTATAATTATTTATTATTTAATTTTTAATTTATGCGTCACTTAGGTACAATTATTCGCCTGTTTGGGGTGCAAATTTTACTTTAAAGTCTGAACGGTGATTTAAAAATTTTTTTTTTTTTTAATTTAGTGTAGTTCATACGTTTAGACGGTCATAATATAAAATATGTTGACTGTTATATTAATAATAATAATTAATAACGGCCGGAATTGCTATTGTGGTCGTATCACAACCCTTTGTCGGACCTGCACGTAGTTCCGGTAGACCGGAATCGACATTTTTGGAATTCTCAGATCTCGAATTTATAACAGGGCTTTGCTCGCTAGTAAGAAAAAAAATTTTAAAAAAAACTCCACTCCGGAAATACAGTGACCAAAGAAAATCATAAATAATTTCTGCCATCTGACGGCAAAATACATATTAAAATTGATTATATATACGTATATTTTTCTATAAACTAATAGAAAATCAACGACATTAATAACAATGACGACAGCAGACATCCGAGGACGGTCTAGGCGATCGGTGGATCCTAGTCTGTGTTGATTTTGATTTATCGATTGTAAATAATATATTGAAATGTCCTTTTTTTTATATATATATTTTGCAATAAAAATGACTTGGAATTTTTGTGTCAGTGCGTCCATAACTCACTCGCGGCATATTCACCGTGATCGATTAAGGATTTGAGTTAAGACAATCATTTTTTCTCTTAAATTATACATATACATATATTTATTTATTTAAAAATTGCGTTTGTCTATTTACTGCCTTTATTATATTATAGATTGACAGTTAGTAACAAAATAAAATTACCTTAATGTTAGTAACAAAATATGTTGTAGTTAAACGAGTATACAAGGATCACACACTAGGTTTCTTTTAAAGTAATTGCAATTATGTAGTTTTTTCTCGTTCATGTTACTTTTATTATAAAATTATCAAATATTAACCTTTTTTTTAGTATTTTCCAGAGCTATATAATATATAATATTTTGAAACTTAAAAGGCAACCCATACAATTGTTTAATTGACTTGATAAATTAAAAATAATTTGCTGGACATTTTGCTTGGTCGATGACCTGTTTTGGGTAATTACTTTTAAAGTTTATTTAAAAGTAATTGTCCTAAACTATACTTATCGATCAGACATAATGAAGCCCAAATTTGATATATTTCATAACTATATTTAAATAACCATCCCTTATGTGTATAATCTTTGACGAATCACCCTGTACATAATATTATGCTTGTACTGTGCTAGCTACTCGACACAGGATATTGTCAACACATTTATTAGAATATTCTTGCACTTGAAAAACATGAAATTCGAGTAATTGGTTTAATCGTGTTTCCATGTTTGTACTTGTTGAGTGCACCTATGTGGCCACACTTAGGTTGTAACTTTAAAGGTCGATCACCCGGGGAAAACGCTTCAAATACTCTTGAATAATAATAATTAACCAGTCAATATTAATTTATTTTGGACAATCGAATTGTTCTCTTTTGTAATGTTACGATTGGTTGGAACAAACTTTTGGACAATTGAGTTTTATATTTGGCACTAACCGTAACATGGTTGTTAAATATGTATCGCATTTGACTACAATAATTTACAGCAATTCTAACTATACAAAATACAACTTATGAACTACTAGGATAGATAAAATAGGAGATAAAGTATACTTTGAACGAGTCAAATAATACAATCGAAGTTAATACAAAAAAAAAATGCCTTTTTTGTTTTATCCAAGATACTTATTTTAAGTTTACAATAATGTAACAAAAGAAAGATGAAGCCCGTACTCGAGACTCGAATGTCTTGTTCTGCACTTTACTCCGAAAGCGTTTTATCTCAATATTTAGAACTCAAAAGAAAAAGGAAACACTTTTATATAAAGCTGATCCTTTTAGCTAGTCCGGTTCTTTCATAATTCTATCGAAAGAAAAGTGAACGATTTGAGCATAAAATATAAAAAATTGAAAACTGTGAGCATATTTTTATTGATAAAAAGATGAAGAAAAGATGTCATATTAAAATTTAAAACTACTATAATACTATATTAATACAAAGCGATATGGCTATATAAGGGTTTTAATTATAAATCGAAATGCAATAGTATGCATTTATAAGATAATATATTTTTATTTGATCTCGATAAAAATTAAAAAGTAATAAAACAATGAAATATAATGTACAAACTAAATTAAAGAGATAGAAATATATAGAGCGATCGTTTATTAAACATAATAATAGTAATAGCGCGCTGTCAAACATAATATTATTAGTAAAAAAAAAATCCAACTCACGGCTATATAAATCATTACAAAATAATTGCTTCGTACTTAAAAGTTTATCCGAATTAACTCCCTTACCGTATAAATCGTTAAAATAAGTAGCCAAGTTTGAATAGGTAGGTGTTATTTTATAAACGTGGACTGAAATTAATTAATAATTATTAAAGTAAGATTTAAACTACCTACCGTCGTTTTTTCTTAGTTTTTTTTTCTTTTACTAATTGAAAAACGTAAAATAAATTATGTTTAAATGTATAGTATACATATAAATATATAATAAAAGAATATATATATAATATATATATTCCAGTAAGTACTTACATTTATTGTATAATTATATTCAACATAATCACATGCATTTTCATAGCTTTAATTGCGAAGGAATTTAAAACATTTTAATAGGACTAGCCATGAATCGTCGCTCTCAAGGTGTAATTAAAAACGCATTGTTTAATGTATTTTACACTTGTTTTTTGTACTTTAAAATTAAATGAATGTGTATTAACAGACCAGTTTTACTAAATCAGTTTACCCGGTGGGAAAATATGCAGTAAATTTCCATTTGAGTGCATTGTAAAACATCGTTGTCGAGGGTTGAAATTTTAGTTTTAACATCATACTACGGTTGTCTATAGTGGACATAATATTTTTTTTTATGGGGATCATACCGTACATACTATGCAGTGTAAGGCTGCAACTAAAATTGAGATAGACCTCTGGGGTAGTCCACATTTGAGTAGGTACTAAACACTTGCCGGCCGCTAGAAAATAATAATATAATAGAGCAAAAAAAAAAAACTCAGTTTGTTGCTCGCAGCTAGTTCACCGTACGTTCCCGGCAAATCTTTCGGCTAAATATTCAAATGAAGCCATTAATATTAATGTTCAATTATTTGGCATTGGCGTTCACAAACACAACACAGCGATTAAACACTATACATCTTTTGTCGGTACAAAAAAAGCATTTATTCCGTCATGCAATGTTATCTATTCAAAATTATTGTTTTTTTTTTTTTTTACAAATACCTTAACTAACTGATAATAATAGCCATCATGCACGCGCTTTATGGACGTGGGAGGTGAAATTAAAGCCACGATAAAAGCACTAGCGGAAAGTCTGGAAAAGAAAAAAAGCTTATTTTAATGGCAATCGACCAAAACTATAGTACATTATAATATTATTAAAACATATTATGTTGAGTAATTCTATGGACTACGATAAATACTATCTTCTTCTATTAACTTCTTTTCAAAGATTTTAAATGTATACAATAATATTATGGTAACACAACTATACCGTGGTTTAATTTTAAATATTATTTTCACGAGTAAAACAAGCTAATATTATAAATACCATTTTTACAGACAACAACTTGCACTGTTGCGATTAAAGACATTAAAGAGATTAAACAATTTTCTTTTTGAAACCGTAAGCCGATGAACTATTTATTTGTGCTTCGCCTCCCCCCCCCTCCTTGATGGGTAAGTAAGGAGCATTAGGTTTTTAATTACTCGGAACTTATGAAGTCATCGGTGTTATCCGATGATAACACCGGAATAATTAATTGATCAATTAAGAGTGACACCGTACCAGTGTACCATCAACACAAATTATTATACTTAAACATCTCCAGTTGCGGACATCATTAGCTATACTATCTCGTCTTTAAATTACAGTGTTTACTATACCGCATACATACGGACGCTTAAAAAAATTCGAATTACATACTTTTAGTTGTTTAGCAGTATAAATACCTTCGGAGAACTTAGACATTTTTGTAAAACTCTCCGCTTGAATAGTGAACTTTATACAGTTCCGCAAAAACAAAAAAAAAACACCTTTTTGTATAAACACCTTTCTGTTGTGACACCTTTGCGCTGTCCCCTGAAATATTGCTTTGGTATATTTTTTTTATTACTTTGTGTAATATTTTAGCTTCGTTGCGCACCTGAGAAGGTATTACGTTTTTACAACGATGTGTTTTTATTTTTAATTGTTTTTTGTATCTGTACCCACGATACCACCTAAACCGTTAAACCGATTTCTTCGTGTGTTGCTGGGTAATGACTTCTTATCGAGCCTGAATTGGCCATATATTCTTACTCATAAGCTTACTGTACACATTTTTATGTTTAGATTGTTTATGCCAAATGAAAAAAATGTAGCAAGACATAGATCAGAAATCGTATATAAGATAGGTACTCTGATAGGCCAACCAACACAAACGTTCACCCCTCCCCACTTAAAACGCACAAAAAAACGTTGACAAACCAAAAGCACAAGTACATTTTTATTTATTTGGCCTATTGAGGTGCAGTTTCAGAGCTTGATGGTAACAACTAATACATATTTTTATCGTTTTACAGGTGACCGACGGCAACTTATGAGGTAATGTTAGTCATTTGACGACAGCCGCAGGTACATCCGACCAAGGCGAACCATGGCCAGGACTTGCAGTACGAGCACGCGGTTGGTTTACGCGCTGTTACTCGCGTTCGTTTACTGCAGCCAACAGATCTCGGCCGATTTCGGTGAGTGCTTTGACAAATCCATAAAAATTGTTAAGACACAAAGCTGGGGTGTTTGTCGATAAGTAAGACACCAAAAGATACATACAACACAAGTAACCGCATTTATTGCCACCAGAGATTGAGTTATAGAGCTCCGTTTATGTGTTAGCGTTTGAATTTTTCATTTTCATCTTCCTGTTCTTTCCTATTACGTTTCCTTTTATAATTTTATTGTCATATTACCCAGTCTTTGGTTTTGAAAAACACAGTAGCCCATAAAAATTCATACTTATGTTCGCATTGTCCAATAAGCGAGAACACAGATAACAACGAGATGTTTTGAGATAATGATAGAGAAGCGGTTCTTATTTACCTATTCAAACGCTGTGACGATATAAATGTTATCGACTGAGGTTATTATTATTATTTATAATGGGAAATCGATGTGCTACTGTTGTAAAAACCGAACGAATATTGATCTGTTAAATTCGAATGTTTATAAAATCACAACAAACGAATAGATGAAATTGGTGAAATATCTACTACGTACAAGACGTATAGATTGTCTTACAACAGATAGATCACTCATGTATCAATCCATTCGAAGACAAATAATGTACTGTGCACAATAAAACAATACGGTCCAGCACTGTGGCGGGTAATGCTATTTTATGCGGTTTGATTGGTATAAAATAGCTCCTGTTTCGTTTATCAAGTCGATTCGGTGGATTACCCGATGGGGTGGACGGGGCGGAAATCTAATTTGAAAACCCACGGGATTCCTTTGGTCATTTCTCAACCGCATTAACATAATAGTACCGTATGGATTCGCAATGGAAATGCATATCGGTTGGTATAATAAAACAACGGTAAAAGGTTGACAAATGTTAAAAAAAAAAAAGTGATCAAATTTATTTTGCCGAAACCGCACCGGCTAATAATATCTTAAGACGACTTATGAGTGGATTATTCTTTGGTCTGTTGCTTTCGACGGTAACGACCCACGTCGAGATTTGAATACCTTATTGTAGGTATAATAATAAAAAAAGTCATTTCGTTAAAGTCAAATCTCGACGTAGGTAAACGTGAATATAAATTCGATTGTTGCCGTAACGTAATCAAATTGTAAATATTATTATGTATATTAAATTTCAGGCATGTTATTGTATTTTCTGACTGCATAATTTTCTTGTGTACACTACGGAAACGTCGATTTCATTCGATTTTCTAAATTTACATAAACAAGTTTAATTCGGGATTTAATAATAATTTAAATCGCTGTTACTTTTTTCAAAAAAAAACTACTTTAAAGTAGTTTGTCCTCGGCATTCGTTATTTTCAATTATCGCTACGGTTTGCAAAACGTCAAAATCTTTAACTTGATTTTTAATATTTTCCCCATTGAAAATGAGTGACGCAATATTAACATAACTAAGGGCGAATCCGAAGGGTCCAACGTTGTCGGTCCGCCTGTTTCCGTTGGCCTAACGCAATTCGTTCTAATCACATTATGCATTATTTAGATTCGATACATTTCAACGATTCCGTTTATTTCTTATGTAACGGTCCCGTGAAAATCGCAACTCAAAGCGAACAGCATCCGAATTACATTAGGTAAGTAGAAAAAAAAAGTAGCATATTTGCTTTGCATCTAAGCTAAAAGTATATATAGGTATACTAACATGCAAAAGCGCGCATAATATATTATTCTTTACTAGTTGATACTGCGTAATGATGTTACGTTCCTTTACTTGCCCCTGTACTGAACCCTCCGGGCCTCGAGAACTCTTTTTTTTATATATATATATTTAATCGGATTTATTACTATATATATATTCGCTTTAGGTGCTCTGAATTTCTCGGCAAAACTCAAACGTGTTCTGAAAAAAAGAAATATACTTTTTTCGGATTATAGTATCCATTTTTTTTTTAAATATGACTTTGTTTGATGTTTTTTTAACCGTCACGCGGGACAGGTGTATTGCAATGATATTATATTAAATAATGTCGTTTTGCGCGCACTGTTGTCATGTTTAAGACAAAAGCGAAATACGATTTTTCACAATGGGTAATTGGCAAGTGGATGGTAATCGAATCAAGAAAAATTCGTTCCGCCAACGTTTTAAACGTCATAACTATCTGCTGAAACGATCAATCGACGGTGATGTTTATTTTTCGCCTTATCTCGAGGCTTCACTGGGCCGTCATATCGTTTTTATGGAAATGATAAATTATTGTCGCTCTCGGGGATTCAACGGGCTAATATCGTCGTTTTTTCTTTTACTTACTTCTAGTTAATTTTTTTTTAGCTCCCTTCGAGATTCGTCAGACGACATACAGCAGTCGAAATGGTAATTTACAAACAACAGACAACCAACGCAGGACCGATTAATTACAGATACGCGCCGAGGCTGTTAATCTCAGCTGATGTTGTTGCACTGCAAACGACGCTCGGCTAAAATCAACAATAAATCATAATATTCTATACACATACAATTCATTCGCAAGTGTATAAACTTAGTGTGTATACATAAGAATATAATTAATCTGGCGCAGTGCACACAAGATTAGTAAAAAAAAGATAAATCTTTTTAGGAAAAAATTTGATGACGACGTTCAATTTGAACGAATAACTGCGCAATTCGATTGAGATACGTTTATTTGCAACGATTGAGTATTTTAAAAACAATAATAAAGCAATGTTAGCCCGCGACAATAAGAAAAAAACGCTTGCCAAAAGTCGGGGACATTCTTGATTTTTAATTTTTGGAGAATTATTTAAAGTATAATATATATTATTATTAAACAGTTAATTATATAAGTATACTTAGGACGGCGAGTGTGATTTTTTAAATATCAAGAAAGTAAAATTAGTGTTATTGTATATGAATTTTGAGTCTTGTCATCCGCGTTTATTTTCCCAATTGGTAAAATAATTTACTAAAACGATTTGTTTTCCAAAATTATATTAAGCAACTCTGCTTGGGAATGTAAATAATAATACTCTACACATAATTTAAACACGGTGAAAAACAAATGAAATTGGAAATACAATATATAGTTGTTAGTTAGAGGCTGTAAAATGTTAATTATAAGTGCCAACGAGGTCACAATTATTAACACTACACCGCGAGATCATCCCACAACATTATAAATAATTAAAATTCTTCGTGGGTTTCTTATAGTGTAACGGGTTTAGATTGTAATTACACCCCCGAGACAACAATAAGGTCTGGCAAAAGGAATTTCAAGAATTAACAAATAAGACGAGAATATAATAATGATGAGACGAAGAATTCGCATTTAACCGGCAATGTGTCTTACCCATAACGTTGTAAACTTAAACGTTTGTAATCCAACGACGAATTTCCAAAACGTTTTTACCGCTTGAATTGCACGGCATTCAAACTGCCCAAAAATATAAATTATGCTGACAGTATTGTTATAGTATTTCAAAGGAGTTAACATCGATTAGAAATACTTAAAGTATTTAATATAATCAATGGGAAAAAAAAAATGAAATATGTTTAATTTATTACCCGTTTAATTTCACTTGGCTAAAATACATTAGAGCTGTTGAAATTATTTTGGTCTTGTGCTTTTTTAAAAAGATTTTCTTATAGTTTAACAGTATCAGGCGTACCTGATAAAACCTTTCAATAGTGGAACCAAATTATAATCAATCTAAGCTGTATCAAATATTTTTTTTTTAAATTATTGAGTAAAATAATACAATAGTAATAGTATATTTTTTGTTTTTTTTTTGACATAAACAAGCTATACATAAAAATCTGTACATAAGCTTTTGTGATAAGAGTAAGAATATTCATATGCAGGTTTGATAAGAAGTCACCCGTTAGCAACACCTGATATTTCTTGTTTTTATTAGTCATATAAAATTGAAATTTTTTACTTTTTTAAGAAGAAATGAGATGTGTTTTTTTATGGGCTATGGGTACTAATACAATATAACTGTGTTTCATTATTTTATATTTCACCGGCTTTAATCGATATTGAAATAATGACGGATTGGTAACCGAACAATAACGGGGTCACGAATCAAAACATTTCTAAGGTCTCGCTTTTATTTATATAAGGATTCGTTAGATGTACAGCGTATAAAATTATTGTAAAATGTAATTAATATTTAAAAAGAAAAAACTAGTCTTAGAGCTGTTTAAAAGGATATTGATTAAGTTGTTGGGTTTTTTTTTTGCTTATAGTTAATTTAAAAATCTAAACGAAAACCTAGACTTTGACATTTGTAATTAATTTATAAATTCTGAATTCCTCGCGCCTATAGTACGGCTCGTTTAGTATGCACATTCCACGCGTGCACGTTTTTCCCTTAAGGTTGGCTTATGCTAGAATAACACAATATTTTTTTCCAAACGTTTCTCAACCGTACTTGAGCATTCGGCTCACGCTTACATCATATAAATGGAATATTTTCCTGTACTTTATGTAAATGAAAAACGAAAAAAAAACCAAACAAAAATACAGCGATGGGAATTTTTCAAATTGGACGTTTGTAAATCCTTGTTTTTCTTAACCAAAGTACAATATGTTCTACCCTTTACAGTGTGGTCGTTAACACGTTTTATTTGGTCGGGGTGTCTTTTTTTTTTAATTGCTCGACGTTTATTTTCATAATAAAAACAGAATATAGTAATTATCAGCTGAGAAAATCAACATGATAATAGGATAATTACCTAATTTCTATTGGACTTTTGGAATTGTCAATTTTATCAACCAACACATAATTTGATTATTCGACTCGAGTGATTAACATTATGCAACCACTTAAACAACGTTTACATAGCGGTGTGACGCGGGTGTTTTTCCACTTGTACCTACTGTTATATATATATTTTTTCTATTTTGTGGTCGAAAAAAATACACAAAAATCGCGCACACGTTTGTATTGTATAAAATGTGTTCATAACACGCTGAAAAACTTTACTGAACAAAATTGAGTGTACGGTATTGTAATAGTGAAAACTTTGGGTCAGCACCAATGG